GTGTTTGCTCAGAACTCTCTTTCCTTGGACTCACTGAATAACCTGAGTCCAAGTTTCTTGTTTCCAGAGCATATAAGTCTCTCCTGGCCTAGGTTTAGTTTTTGATTTGCTGCTGTAAGATAAAAAGGCAGAAAAGCCAGAAGGTTTAAATCCTCAGAGGCTGAGCATTGTAAAGACAATACTGCTGTTACAGTCCACCTGACCTTCTGTCCTACTGTGGTCTGCAGAGTTGATAAATCCCTTCAGCCAAGTCCCTTATTCAAAATCCAGCAGGTATAGTTGGCATCCTGCATGTACTACTTTTGTTTTGTTCGAGATTCTCCGTCATACTACTGCTAAATAAACCACAAGATGGGGCTAATGTACAGCAATCAGAGCTGTGAAGTAGGCAAAGAACTAGTAAGTAAGTGTCTCAACACTGGATTACAAAAGCTCAGTGGTGGTGCTAATGTAAGGATATCAATCACATTGTTTGAAGGGTCTTTAGTGACCAGTTCTAATAACTGTAGGATGCTCTAAACTTCTACTCCTGATCTTGCATGTAAAGGTCTTTAAAAAAATATTAGCAGACAGCTTGATTTTTTTCTTTCTGTGGTTGCTACTGTTATATTAACATTATAAATATCAAGCTTAAGTCTTTTGGAGACATGGGAAACATTGATTATCATTAGATTAAAACAAAAAAGATTTTGAATAATTATTTTTTGTGGTACTTAGCCTTTATAGACTGAGACAATTTACTGAGTGCCTGAAATCCTGATAACCAACATGATACTGTAAAATGGCTCCAGAAAGCCCTCTCCACCCAAATCCAGGCCCATGTCCATATGCAATATCCTGAAAGAAGGTACCCTTTTACTTTTGGTGGTAATTTGGGTGAATGGCATGAATGGGTGGGGATCAAGAACCAATGCTGAGTTCTCCAGAGACTTTAAGCACAAAAATTGTCCTTGGGTTAAAGGAAGAGGTTTCTTTCCTGTCCTCTCTTTTATGGGCTGCTGAAATATAAACTTCTGGATTTTGTTTGATTTATAGGGATCTGTGATCACAGTTACAGACATGTCTAATTTGTGTGCAGAATGAACTCCGTATCTGGCACTTTCTGTGGTGCTCTCTGTGAACTGGGAATCAATCTGCTGTTTGGTTTCCAAGCAGAGGCTGTGATCATGGCCCTGCTGTGTGTGCACTGGTCTGTATGGGTTTGATTTGGATTGGTTTGATATTTCATGGTGAATCTGACCACTAGTTAAAGTGAGAATATGCTGCAGTCTTGAGAGAAACTGTGTCTAGGGATGCAGAGTGAGTTAGGAGTGCTTAGCTTCTTCTCCAGTGTTAGAAAGAAAGTTTCCCTTGGAGTGATATTGCAGTGTTAGCAATAAAAGACTTATGGTACTGTCTATTTTTTAAAACAGGATATGAACTGTTCGGGTTCATCAGCCACATGGGAACATCCACAATGAGTGGCCACTACGTTTGTCATCTCAAAAAGGAAGGAAGGTGAGTGCAACACACAAGGGTGAGCAAATGTTTGTATTGAAGTGTGCACCTGTACAGAGCAGGGTGTGTTCATGGCAGACAACACGTGTTGTTACCATCTACACATTTCCCACCAAAGACACAAAGGTTGTTACAGTCTGTAGATGTGATGAGTCAGTTCTGATTCTGCTGAGGGTTGTGTTGAAATGTACCTTTGGCTCTCTGTTCAGTTTGGGGCATTGGTTCTGTATCTGACTTAGTTTATCTGAGCTCTCCCCAACTTCCTTTTGCTTCCCATCAATAGAAACCCACCAAACTATGGGCTGATACTGGTATTGCTAGTACTGCAGTGCTAATTTTGGCTGTGATTTCAATGTGCTCCCATTGTCTGGCATTGGGAATCCCTGATTTTCCTTCATTTGAACTGTAACCACACATGTCTCTGCACATCCCTCCTCTTTTTCAGTTCCTGACTCTGCCAGTGAACCTGCCTTGGCTGTTTCTCGGATCTTTTGTTCTCGTTGCAATGCCTAATTTTAGATTTTAAGCTCTTTGAAGTTTGGGTCTGAGAAGTCCCTGATAAACCTGTGATGATTTTTATACACATGGGATGTAATCAATCTTGTTTTCCTTTCAGATGGGTGATCTACAATGACCTTAGAGTCTGTGCCTCAGAACGACCTCCCAAAGACCTGGGCTACATTTATTTTTACCACAGGATACCAAGTTAAACCTCAAATCTCTTGCCTGGCCTTAAGAAGCCATAAGCCTTTTTAACCTGCCCAAAAAACATACAGTAGAAAAGAAAATCTAAACCCAACAAAAGACCCCTAACCCTTGGACTGCCAAAAAGCAAAGGAAAACATGGGATGTTTATAGTGTATTTAAAAACAGTCATTTGATGCCGCCTTAAGTGTTAGACAGAAAATTTCTATTAGGTGCTGTATAGTATATTGTTTTAAATTTATACACCTTAAAGGATACCTTAAGGCCCTGTGTGTTACTGGTGGAGTTTGCAGCTGGTAAATGGAGAAAATGGAAGCTTCAGTGTTGAAAAATAACCCAGTTCAGCCCAGCTCCTGCCTGTTCTGTCCATGCATCCTTTGAAAGACCACAAATACTTGTGTCTTTGGTATTGGGAGCCAGAGTTTTCAACCAGTCAGACCACTTAGAGAAATCATGTAAAAGTTGGAGGCAGGGAGTATGTGACTATTTTTCAAAGCAGAATGTCCTATTTGAGAGATTATTTTCAGTGCAGTGAGAAAAGTCAATTTGTTGGAGTTCAGTGATTGAGTATTTTGCCTTTTTGACGCATAAACCTAAGAAACTAAAGGAGATGGAAGCAATCTCCTGTCAGTGCCCTGTACATTTTCTGCCAAAGAGAAATAGTAGATTTTATTTTTGCAGACACAGGTTTCTTCATCTTCTCTTGAATGTTCATTTTGCAAGTTCTTCCAACAGATTCAAGATTATAGATGGCTAAAAGAAGCAGACTTTCTGCCTATGAAATTGAACACATACCCTCAGGAAAGGCGAGGCTATTATTTAAATTTTGTTTTCCTATGAAGGAGGTAGGGAGAGTTTTAATGTCCCATTATGTTTATGTCAGGGAAATTTGCATCTAGACCACTCATATTCCAGCTGAAATCAACTCCTTGACAAAGTACTCACAGTGCAATTCTGCTTTCTGCTAAAGATTGCTTAAATATTGAGTTTCATCTGTGAGTGGGGGAAATCGCTTGGCAAAATTGCTGATTTATTTATTTGTTCCTCTTT